CAAAGTCAAGCAATTATTTGGCCACTTGGGTATGTTGCAGTTGGCCAGTTCTACTTCTTTACCCCCCACAAGTTGCCCTATTTCTTCTTTGTTTTCTTCTGTTGTAGATAAACATTCATCATCTCATCTCTCTATCTCTCTTTCATCATACATACTTTTCTTTCTTTCCTTCGTCGACCCCTCCCTCCTTCAAAGTCAATCCACATCATCTTACACGAGATTAATAGTACTACTAACCCAACCTGCACCACTTGTTGCAAATTTTGCAGTAACAAGAATACCAAAAAGAAAAAACCCGTGGTCGTTAAGTTTGCTTGATAGTTAATTAATCTATTTGTAGAGGTTTATCTACTTTAATTATGTAAAAAGTTTCTCTACCTATAGATTATAACATAAACAACATGTCATGATATTCATTTGTGGAATTATAAGCATTATTCATGGATGGAGCTATAACAACCTCACGATTAATAGTAAAAAAAAATAAAAAAATTCAAGAGATGTTATGATTAGGTTCTGATAAGTGAACGTATACCACATTTAGATTAATTTCTATTCATTTTAGATAGACTGTTTCGGAGAAAAATGTACCCCAACCAATAAACAGGAACAATGTATAAGTATACGTATATACACTTGTATACTTATACAGTGCCCTGAAATTGTCTGAGCAAACAATTTGTAGTTGTTGTTTAATAAAAAGTTAATGTATATGTGGTAATCAAGCAATCGACGTTGGGCAAATAAGTTGCTTGGGAGGATTCTCCTCCAAAGAAGAAGAATTGTCTCAATGTTGACATTATTATATTCTGTTAGCAAGTGTGCCGAAGATGACAAAATGGAAAGAAAGAAGGATAAGAAAAATAAAGAAACCAAAGAAAGGTTTGGGCAGCGACGACTTTGGAAACAATGAACGAGGTCAACAAAGTCAAGAAATTGGCAAATTGTTTTAGGGTTTTTTTTGGACCGTTTGAAGGATGGCTTACACTAGTGGACTTCTTGTTAGCTTTAGCCCTTAACGCGTTAATTTATTAAAAATATTTTTTTTCCCACTATTTTTCATCACTTGTTTTTGAAATCTGGGGGTTTGTTTTTTTTAGCTTTTTATTTTTAATTTCTTTTTGAATGTTATAGAGGCTGCTAATTTTTTTTCCATGCGGCACGTAACGAATTGTCTCTTTATATGACTTAGAAATATATACATTTCCAAATTGCATATAATAATAATATTTCACATTAAATGAAAGAAATCATATAGGGTTTCAACTTTCAAGTAGTTCTAAGTGTATTTTAGTTGCAACTATGTAATGCAACCCTAGCTAGTTGGTCAACTAGTTGAATCATCATCACAGCAGCGAAGTTTCAAGTTCAAGAAATTGACTAATTATTAGGGTTTGCATGTGAGCTTGTATATTCGTGGTCATTTCTATTGACATAAAGATATTATCATATTTAGTTGGCCAGATAGAACAAACACGCACATTATTACACACAGACACAAGATCATTGCGTGTTTAGGTGTATTATGTGCGTTTCCGTACATGATTTCGTCTGCAATTAATAATCCCTTGTTGTTTTGGGTCAAGTTTACTTATGACTTCTAGTTTTTTTTTTAATCATTCGTAATTAATATTAATAATTCGAGATTGGGATAAGATCATAAGAAAGACCCTCTTTTTATTTTTCTGAAAAAAAAAAAGAAAGCTTATATTAACTGCCGAAGGAGTAGATTAAGAGCATTTATGGACGTGCGAGCAACTCGGTTTGCAATGTATCTGTTGTATATAAATTATGCTGGGACAATTAACTCCAATAGACTTCAAAACTAGTGATGTTACGTGACTGATCGACCATTATTTTCATGCAATATTCCCCAAGGTTTTTAGTTCACTGTAACTTTTGGCTTAAGGAATAAAGAAAACCTCAAGTCATAGTAGAGAAAGCAAAAACAAGACAAACAAAAAGAAAATTGAGGAAAAATATTCCATCCTTCAGATCCTAAACAAAGTCAATATGCGATTTCCAATTTCTGCCCAGTGAAAATGCGAGGAAAAAAAGGGGAAAACTTAGAACTCAAAAAACTTTTGCACCAATATTCAATTCCCCAACCCCCCAAAAAAAAAAAGAAAAACTAAAAATTCATTATGGGATTTATGATTTCTGCCCGGTGAAAAAGCAAGGAAAAAAGGGGATAGAACTTAAAATCTTTTGGTTAAATATTCCATATACCTCTTAAAAATAAAAAACAAAAAGTCAATATTCGATCATGTATAACTTCTTATGAGTTTTTAGGAATCCATTACTTTCTTGCCATTGCATGTCTCATTCAGTTTGTGCTGGTAATTCTATTTTTTTTTTTTTACTCCATCTGTCCTAGATTTTCTAGTCTACATTTTGAATTTTTTGGATTTATACTGTTTTAATATAAATCCCAAAACTAGATGTGGACTATTTTTTGGGACAGTAATAGTTAAAGAGCAAAAATGTTGCCGGAGGTGAATAATTTTAGTGTTATAGTAATGGCCAGGGGCGCTTATGAGAAAACAGGAGCATCAAAGGTGGACAATTCCTCTTGAGCGATTATGTTCCGGTGATCGGAATGGTTTCCTTTTCTTTTTGTTTTTGGAAATAAACATATCTACAAAAGCATTAATTTCTTTCTGGCGGAAAAAATGAATAGACGGTAATATTTAGGCCTCTGACCATAGAATTCGACTAAGTCGAGGTAAATATCAAGTGTCATTAATTAAGTCTACATTCATGTACTTTTTTTTTTCTAGATAGAAATTTCAAGTAGGCTTAGTAATGTTAATTTCTCCGTTAATTCTTCTATTTTCGTAATATGCTATTATTTACAAAATAGATTATATTAAATTTAAAAATCCAAAATGAATAATCATTTTGAAAAAGAAACAAACAATATTATTACAAAGCAAATAATTTCCAAGTCATGACCTACAACCAAAAGAAAAAAAAACCTACCTGACTGGCATTAAGAAAACAGTTTTACTTCCACATAACCAGTCAGTTCTACACAAAACTCATATATATATATATATATATATATATATATGAATGTGGCCGGTATAGCAATTTTCAATGCGTTTCAACTTTTGAAGTTGAAATAAACTCATAAAATTAAGTTACATCTATTTTTTAAAAAAATAATGAAAAGGATATCTGATTTTAATTGTTTATAATAATTTTTTCCTTGGGATATTTCATTTTCAAAGTCATCGTCTATGGTTACATATTAATTGTAGTGTTTATTGGTTGTTGCGTAATGACACAAAGTTGCAATAAAGAATTGCACCAAGTTGGTTTTGATGGCAGATGTGGAATAGTAATTAGTACTGCAAAATTGATTTGATTTGTAGAAATTGGCGTTGAGTCAACATTACAATGCTCAATGCTCTATATGTTGAACGTGACAAAACTTGTGGAATTATCATAAAATGCCGTACAATAAAGCTGTTTTCTTAGCTTGAGTCTTAATCTTGGTTATGGCGTTCTTATAATCGTTTTTTTTTTTTTTTGGGTTTTGGGTAGACTTAAAATCTTAACTTAACTCAAAATGTCCCACTCTCAAATGACCCAGTCTCCGTATTTGAATGAAGGGAACAATTGCCTACTTTTTTGTCCCAAAGATTTGTTTGTTTTGTTAACCAAATTATGAAAGAAGATTTTTCGCAAAGAAATTCAAGTTGTAATTTCTACCACCTCACCTTACTCCAAACGGGATTAAATCATTATACCGTTACCACTTACTAGTCTAAGACCCTTTATGAAACTGAACCAGAGAAGAAAGACATGATGATACATATCCAATCTAAAATATATGTACCTTTACAATATTCTTTTGATCGAGCAACGATGATTTCGGACACCAAATGCGTAATATATATATATATATATAAAAATTCTTTTATCTTATAATAACATTTATTTTTGTTAAATTAAAATAATACAATAAATAAAACTTTCATTTTGGGAAATGAATGACAGTCTAGTGGTTAGATTGTTGTCCTTCTTGGTAATAAACCAGAGTTCGATTTTTACCAGGGGTTATAGGGAGTTTTTACCTACATTTAAGTAGGGTTCACTAGGGTAGATTTAAAAAAAAAAAAAAAAACTTTCATTTTAGGGCCAATGAAATAATACAACATTACCCTTAATGGTGCCAACCCATTTCTTGTTTGATTAAAGCTACATAAATAGAGTGAACATCTTCCAAAAAAAAAAGTTATTTGCAAAACATCTTTGGAACTTGATGAATAAGTATTTACTATACGATTACAATGTATAGTATGCTTTGTACCTGTTAAACACAATTTATCATACGCTATCCAAAAAAAGCAACAACAAAAGAAAAATCTAAGAGAAATGGCCTCCAGAAGAAGACAATACAGAAGAAGATATATGAACAGTAAATAGGGTTGGCAACCATACATGAGAGTTCAATCGCTCCATTCTTTAGTTTTGGCGGTTTGTAAAATGGTGGTACTTAAAGATGCCATAACTCTTTGTGGTCCAAAACAAACAACTCAATGTGCCAAGGAGTGGGGGATGTGATGCAGATTACCTAGTTTTTTTCTTGGTTTTATTCTTTCCCCTTTGTTTATGAACTGATAAATCAATTCATTTTAGTTCCAATGACTTGTCAATTTCCACTAAAAGCAAACACCCAATACATGAATGTTGCAAGCCACAATGATAGGACAAGGCATACATGAATTATTATTAGGTCACACATTAGCACATTCATTGTCAATCGATCTAGATCATCACACTTGCTGCATTCATTGATAAATGCATCAATTAATTCTACTTGTTGCCCAACGGTCTTATTTGTTGAACTGTAATTATTGACTGGAATGAGTACTACGATTGAGAGATGAATCTAAAGGAAATAATGGAGTAAGCAATCTAAATTATTTTTACAGGACGAAGAGAGCATTATGATAAGAGATGGATCTAAGAGACAAAGACGAAGAATATAATCCATCTGTTTGCTGAACTCTTATTATATGCGGAAGAGAGCATTATTTACATTGAGAGATAGATCAAAAAGCAAGAATGAAAAATACAATGCATCGGTTCGTCGAATCATTTTATGGAACAAAAACAAATCTAGTGACATTGAGAGAGATAAGACCTAAAAGCAAGAACAAATGTTGGTACTTCAGAGAGGGATGTTAAAAGCAAAGACGAACATTGGTACGACAATAATACCTAATTATACACTTATCCCCAGAGAATATCTCAAAAAAAAAAAAAAGTAACTAATAATGCTACAGGAAAGCAGCTTATCACCAAAAGATTCTCAGTCTTTAACTATATATGATACGAAATGCAACTATGAAGTTAAATTCACATCAATCTTCCAATCAAATGCCGAAAATTGAGAATATATTACAATGGGGGCATTTGTTTTCTTGGGTCTTTCAATTACTTGTGTATGGTTGGGGGGTGGGTTTTACTTTTTTTTTTTTTTTTTTTCTTTCAACTTTCTACCATTTGGGAAGCTTCAACCAATTAACAAATCGAGATACACTGCACTCTACAAAACAATGTGGTTTTTGTTTTCAGGACCCCATTGGCAACAAATTGCTGAGGAAAATCAACAGAAGTCACATCTTTGCAAAACCACTGACTGGTGTATATATGAAGGGTAGTTTCATCCTTGGCACATTGTATAGGTCCAAGGTCCCTCTCTTTATGCCCTCTTGTCAAGTTGCACCAATTCTTATCTACATCTTTATAAACTCCTCTCCCAGGACAATGATTGTTCAATTTGCATTGTACGTTGGAATGAATCCTTTGGCATGTTGGCTCTCCATTTCCAGAGCCATTAAAGATTTTTGTCTGTGGTACTTATTCCGTTTCGCGGCTAATGCTACACGGCAAGAACAATGGAAATGGCTACAAACATCAGTAACAACATCAAACATCACTAAATGCAAACACATACACTGGTAACATCTGCAAACTCGATGATAATAAACTTCCAAATCAACAAATTTAGTATCTACATGTTATTATACTCGTGAATTAAGAGGAGTTCAGTAGAAAAACTCATCAGTAAAAACTAACATATTTTATGTTCATGTGATGTCATGTCAAGTAGTGCATGCATATTGCGGAATGATGTATCTCTATACTGAATGATAGCCCCAAGGATGTCCTACCACCATAATTAATCCTAAGTTTCCTCCTACAGTGAAGATCACAGACAAATACTCATCAGATTGATCAATTTGCCTTGTCGGAAAGGTTGAGATTGCTCAAAAGCTTTGAATCATTGAGTGGGAGCATGCTATCCTGTCACTCAATTTCAAATGCAATAGGGGCATCGAAAATGCCTGAAGAATGACTGAATGATTATTATAAAACTAAATGAGCAAATGCCTTCATTTTAATCCATGTCAGTTTTTACTCCCCCTCAAAAAAGTCAGCTTTTACTTCTTTCTTTTTTTTTTCCTAAATCTGCACAAGGGAAGGCTTCTCCAAAACATTAATGTCAGCACCGATTTCAACCAAACCAGTAATTGCATTTATATTTCATAAAGCCAGCATCACATCAACTTGCTAAAAGGCACAAAAATTTGGTTGGATATGAAGATATATAAAACCCTTCAAAAGTCAAATGTTCAAAACGCCATGCATGAGTGCTTCCTCCTGCTTTTGTGAGGATCAAATTGTTGTGTATGTGACCATTTATTAGAACTTAAACTTCACATATTTAACAAAAAGCCTTTTTAGGTAGCAAATAACTCAATTTTATCAACAAAAAAAAAAAAAAGAAAAGCAAATAACTCAATGAACATAAAAGAAAAGCCAGACCAAGTTCAAAGGCTACTTACACATTAACTCTTGTGGTAAAGCAAAGTCATAGTCATTTTGTCGTCTTCTGATACATATATATATTCCAAGCAGCACCAGAGAAAAGACAAACACACAAGATAGGCCAATGGCAACTTTCCCTCCAGTAGACAAGCCATCCTTTCCCCAGAATAAAGGGCAATCCGGCAAAGAAGGCACTCCACATAACCCCTTGTTACCAGAAAGGCTGTGGTAAAGCGAGTTAAGAACTCCACTTAACAAAATAACCATATCAACAAGATAGGAGCAAATAATACACGTTTAGTCAAACAATGGAGCTACTCTTTCTCATCAAATAATGCATTTTACTTTTCTTTTCATGTGAAATCATCAAGGCCTTGCATTGCGCTAGTCTTAAATATTATTTTTAGATCTTCAGATAAGTTTCAACTCTCAATGATCTGGCTTCTCTACATGGTGCAAGCATGAACAATAACATATATTAAACATTGATGTTACTGATAGTAGTGGGCTAGTAAGATATGTAACATGAGTACAAAAAATATTTGCAGATATATCTCAATACAATTTGAAGATGGCATAAACCGGGCCTTTTGTCACAACAGTGTTCAGAGTTTGGTTATCTCAACCTCAGACCCAGCCCACTAACCACCTTTTCCTTCGTGACAGCCATGCACTTAAATGAGATTTGGGCTGACGCAGTACCCTTGCTTGACTAACCCATTGAGATCCTACAGTCTCAATCAAACATTTGTAGTCCCAATAGGGAGACCAATGGCAGTCCAAAAAATCTGCCAACATTTCCATTCCAGTACAAGTAACCTTTGCGTTAACAGCCACTGAGTCCAAAGAATTCATTCATTATTGCAGAAGTAAAATACTTCCTTTTTTCCATCCCACTCTTAGCCAATTCTTTTTCGTGTTTCAGTGGAAAGCTTAGTAGATAAATTGTCGGAGTTCACCGTTTTGTTGTAACTGAGGCATAATAGGTGTTCGCAGTAAATTATAACCCTCAACATCAAAGTTTAATTGAGGACCTTAAAGTTGAAATAATTTTTCGAAAGCATTCTCAACTATGCAAGATGATGCAATGCCTGCAATTGTTGATGTCTTAACAACCTTTGAGGGTCCGTACATTCTTATTATAGCACTTACCAAGCCACCAAGGCATGTAAAGAAAACGTAGGATTGTCGGATTGGGAGCTAATATTTATTTTTAGGATAAATAAGAAAGTGTGAAATTATGCAAAGAATGAAAGTGGTTGCAGTATAAGCAATAAGACATACTCGATAGCTCCGCCGTGTACCCCAATGGAATAAAGTTCCTCCGGAACTCTCCCCGATAGTTGATTACCATTCAAAAGCCTGCAAAAAATAATATATTTAGGAAACAAGACAATAATGTAAATTTCATTTATGGGGGTTGACACACTGATTCTTTCCACTTGATATTGTTCTACATTGATTGACCAAGAAATTTGAGTAAATTTCACTAATTATTTATCCAAACTTTTAAATTAAATTCAAGGATGAATTTCATGCATACGAAAAAAATACATGAAGAAACAGCTTACACGAGTTGCAGTTGAGAAGATGTTAGACTGTCTGGAATTGGTCCCATTAACTTATTATTTGATAGATCCCTGAATAAAAATGAAAAGTTGTTTGTAAAGAGCATATTTCAAAGAGGCATAAACAGCAATACCACCAGCCCCATTTTTAACAGTATCAGATTATTGATCTTACAGCTTTACAAGAGACTTTTGGCCCAACCCTGATGGCAGACTTCCCCCCAAAGAATTTAAACTTAAATTCCTGCATGTAACAAAGTTGATTCGGGATCAGAAAGTTCATATCAATGACAAAATTAGGTTACATAGATAGAGAGACAAAGGAAGAAAGTACAATAAATCATCAAAAGAATTGGAGTGATGGTACAGGAAATCAGGTCTACGGAGAATAACTTCTAACTACCATGAAAACATTAACCAGTAAACAAGCAAAACATGCAAGGAGCTTTCCCAATGAACACGTAAAGGCAGGATTTCAAGTGACTTTAGTCAGGATATTAAGGAACACAGAGAAAAGAATGGGAGTTGTAAGCCATGGTCTTTTGATTGAGCCCATAAACTAATTACAGTAATTGCACCACCTTCATTATGTATCTACTACAAGGCAATGCAAGCAGGTAACTACGTATAGAAAACTTTAGGCAGCACCTCTGCAGAATATCCACAAAAACTTATTCAACGCACAGAGACCAAGAAAATGTGGTTGGCTTGTGTGAGGAGACTAATCTAGATACTAAGCGAAAAGGCATCACTAGAGTTCGTCTCAACATAATGAGAAGTGAAGCAGGTAGACAGTAGTTAGTAGATAGGAAGCACTTTGAGTAGGAAGCTAAAGTTAGAAGCTCAGCCAAACATAGCTTGAAAATGCAAGTTGTTTCTCCATTCAAAACGAAGAAAATAAAACCATGACATTGAAACAAGCGACAAAATCAGTAAACAAAAGATGCATTGAAAAAATCTTCAGTGGATGCATTCAAGCTTCCAATTTGACACTTACAGGCTCACCAAATTTGCTAAGAGAACGATCTGATCACTAATATACCCCTTCAAGCCTTGGCTTCCAAGATCTCTGAAAAATGGGGAGGAAATAAATAGAGCTTAACAATTTACTCTAGATATGCATAGACCAAATGGAAAACTACACTAAGCATTTCATGCCATTCTTGTTAGTATAACCTGAAGAACTCAGAGTAAGAGGAAGAAAACAAGATTAACAAAACTCACATGCTACACATTTGATTGTTTTAAGCTTGACATAACCTACTAAAAGCCGCTGGTTGTTATAGAAAATTTTAGAAGATATCGTTAAGAATTGATTTTGATGCGCAAGTATAATTGAAAAAACTATCACATCACCACCTTTCTATGTGCATAATAAGTTGATGATGCCTATAACCCATTGAGGAGCCACTAAAGATCTCTTTTTCAAAGAAGGAATGCTACTACTACGTAAATTGTCAGATAAAGTTGATCACCTCCCCAATTCCGAGTTTAAAGTGTGGCATTACACTTAAATGAGAAGTACACTGAAAACTTACATTTGGGAAACGACTAGGGCAGATTCATCTTTAGTTTGACTACATGTGACACCCTCCCACGCATCCCATGTTGTAGGGGCACACGGATCACCATTCCAACCCATCCTATCTGGAACTCGAAGCGACTCCTTCAAAGCTCGCATTGCAGAAGCTGCAAATTAAGTGCGAGTAAAATGGACAGTGATTCTCCCAAACAAGCAAAGCATCAAACACAGAAATAAACAGCGGTGTCATAGTCTCATCGACCAATAGACCAAGAATAACAAGACACAAAAACTAGCAGGCATACTACAAAAGAATTAGGCTAGTACTAAAAGGAATAGTACCTAAATGCAAGGCCTCAAAAGAACGTTAGCAGTTCAACAGTGAACTATAAATTTGTAACGTTCTTGTTCCTACCACAATTAACGTAGGCAACGCCAAACAGAGCAAACCATGTGTGGTTATTCCTAATATTTCCGTACTTCAATTGAAAAGGTATAGGGATGCAATTTACTTCCTCTTCCACATTCTTGACAAAGTACAAACTAATAGTTGCCAGTATTTCCCGGAAGACACAGAAATAGATGTTCTCTTCTATTTGGCCTGACCTAACTTTTAAAAACTCCATTCTAAAAATGTGATTACATACAAGTAAACAAAGAGAAACCAAAACAAAAATGACGAGTTTATCACAACCAGACATACCCTGATCAGGTAGAGTCTTGAGATCAGCTGGGACAATAGCATAGTTCTCAAGCCCACAGATGGTTGGCGATCCCACAACGGCATAAAGCCTAACACTCAACGAAGTACTACTCAAATTCTTCACCACATAGCTCCAGTCGTAAGCTGCAAAGCCCCCAACACTCTTATATATGTCCACTCTACTTACATTCACCTCATTCACATAAACATCAAACACCCTCTGCCCTGCCTTGGTCACACTAACATCAATCTCCGCAAAATGGAACCACAACAAGTAATCCAATTTGGCATCCACAGGAATTATGTACTCCATAAATTTGCCGTCAGTTCCACTTCCTCCCACCAAAATAGTGGCTGTTTGATACAACTTCAATGGAAAGAAGTTGGGTTCTCTATCCACATTGATCACATCCTTTATGGCAGATATCGCTTTAGTCTTTCCGGCAGCATTAGTTAAGATACCGGAATCAGACTGCCAGGACCGGCCGAACCGGTCAGTGTCATTGGAAAATCCGGGGCCCCATTGACCCGAGCCGGAAGTAATTCTTCCATAATTAACTAAAATCGAAGTATTATAGGTAGTTTCATTTCCCAGGATGTAAGCATCTGGGTCGACTTGGATGAGCTCCAGAGACCCAATTACCGGAGGATCAGTCGCGATACTGTAGAAGCACACGTCAGCATTCGAATCGTAGATGGACACAAAAAGATCCGAATAAGCCCCGGATCTGGAAATGGACTCCTCCCAAGGCGACCGCCAAGAGAACACCATAGTCCCTTCAACGGCGACGTCGAAGGAAGGGGAATGAGACTTGCCGTCGTAGTTATCGTAGACAATGAACGTCCGGAGGAAGTACTTTCCGGGAGGGACATCGGGAATTGAGTAGCAATTCTTCTTGCCGGAGGAAATTGGGAAGTAGCGGAGAGTCTTCTCCTGCTGGTGGGTGAAATGAAGCGGCTCCGACACAACCGCCGTAACACCGCCGGTGAAGTACCTGTCGGAAACCCAGGTCGTGTTAAAGACATCCGTTGAGTTGGTCAATCCACCACAATCAACATGGATGGAAAAATCTGCATTATTCCGTTCCAATTCAGTAAAGAACCAAAAACCCAAAAAAACAAAAAAAAAAAAGCAGAGTCCGTTAATGACAGTTAAAAATAAATAATGAAGTTAGAACTAAAATTCTAAAGCTTAAAACAAAACGAATGATTAATGTGTGAGTGTGTGAGAGAGAAAAAGAAAGAATAGGGAATGACTTACTATAGGGGTAAGGAACTGAAAGAGAGAAGGAAAAGGTGGGGAGGAGGAAGAGGAGGAAGAGGGGAAAGGGGGACATGGTGTTTTTGAGAGTGGGAACTGTGTGTTGATGTGTGGTGTTAATGGCAAATGTTAGTGAATACAGTTTAGGAGTATGAGCTGTTTGGCCATGGAGGTGGTAATGGTAATGGTAAACATTTTCTTTTGGTTTTTTTTTTTTTTAGTGTGTGAGTGCGTGTTTTCTGGAGTAGAAGGGAGGGAGTGATTAGCGGTGAAAACTGGGGAGAAACGGAAAAGGAAGTAAACGGAATGGATGGTGACAGGAAAGGAAACAGTGGAAAAAAAAGGTGGGAAGTGGGAACGATGCGATCGAATTAATTATGACAGGAAATTGTCAATTTGTGGTGTTGGTTCTGCTGTTTATGGGATTGTGACTTTTTTTTTTTTTTTCTTTTGCACATTATCGGGTATTGGGGTTGAATTTGTATGACCCTTTGGAAGACTAGGGAGTTGCGAATTGAGAGGCTAGATTTTGGTGATGTAATAATAATAATAATAATAATAATATCCAAATGGAAATTATCGAGGATGAATTTTTTACAATTGATTCCCACCAAAATACCAAATCAAATGAGAGATCCTTGGGTTTTTTAAAACCTTTTTTATACTCCCTCCGTCCCATAATTATTGTCCAGATTGAGTTTTGATTTCTAGTCCAAATTATACTAAAAGTGAAAACTCAAATTGGACAATAATTGTAGGACAGAGAAAGTATATACGATATTGTTCTTAATTTGCAATGCTTAACATTTTTATTAAATCTGTCCATTAATTAACGAATTATGAAATGATATGATTTCGTTACTCAAATGATAGTTGTTTTCCAACTTAATTTAAGTTGGGTCATGTAAATCTTCCATAATTAGTGAACGAAACACCTCTTGCATATTGTTGTCTTACGACCGAAGATTAGTAACGTGAGACATATATAAGCATAACAGTATATGATTTGTGAATTACGAGTCATTGTTTCAACATTGTCAAGCAAACCGCACATACTAGATTAGCGATACTTAAGATTCAAGAACAATATTTACAATTACTATATAAATTTAATCCATTTATCAATCGTAACTTATCAATTTCTCACACAAAACTAACAGAGTTTAAAAACTAACTAAATTAGACGAACTAGAAAATTGGATTCAATATATCTACTACATGTGTAGCAGGACCAATTCTTACGTTCTAACCATACTCTTGGATCAAGTGTGAAATAAATCAGAACGTGAATATGATTCCCATTCCCTTGTGGGAATATGACTTTATTGTAAGGAGGGGCATGTATAAAACTAAAATACATATACATATCTATATATCCTATTAAAATAATAGTCCAAGAGACAAAAAAAAAAAAAAAAAACTAACGTGTCGTGTTCTCATGCATCCATTTCCCGCCTAACAAAAATTACGTAGTTTTGTGGAAAAAAAATCATTTTTACGATCTTTAGTTGTATTAACTTTCCTTGTCCTTAATAATAATCAATTAATTAATATTAATAGATAAAACATTAACGATATAAGTAAATAATTTTTTTATTATTTCTAAAATTTAAAATATAACAAGTTGAGTTAAAATTGAAAAATACTTTTACCATTTGTATACTTAATTTGAAAACATAATGTTGTAAATAAGTCAGGTAACACCTGGGCAAGCGCCTAGTTCCTTTGAAACGCTGAGTAGAGGAAGGATGAAAAGTGTTGGGGAGGGATGATTTGAAGTGATTATTGTTCAACTTCTTTTATTAACACGGAGTATCGACTTTCTCTCATTTTAGTCAGATTCTTGGAGTTATTGATATTTCTTCTATTCAAGTACTCATTTATTTCATGGAGACAATCGAGAAGCCTCCATCACGTGCTCATCAGTAGTACCCGGATCACCATGGCACCCATTTTCATTAATTATTCCATATCTTTCTCCATTCTAAAGTCATACGTAAATTAAAGAAATAATCATTTAACAATTAATTTATATATTAAATAGTATCTATTTTATCCATCACTAATTACATTGAAATTATAAACAAGACAACATTAAAATAGATTGATATCATTTATTGAGTATAAAATTGAGAAAGTAGTCATTAATTTACCTTGAAATGCTAAAACTATATACATTTTTTTAAAAAAAATTATGTCTAAAACGATTTACATTTTGAAATGGAAAGAGTATTAATTATAGAAATGTTAGCTGCAATCTGCATGGGATATTGGGTTGTAATGCAATTTTCTTTTTTAAAAAAAGAAAATCTACCGCATCGGATTCTATTTAAATATGAGTTAAATTTTCCTTGTGCATTTTAATTATTAAGCTCTTATTCAATAATTTTTTTAATTTTTATGAAATATCTAGAAATCGAAATCTCTTACTCTAATTTCCAGCGCTCCAAATGATTAACATAAGCTGAAGCGGTCATCAAAATTCAAAATTGTCCTAAGTAACACTTAGTGCATAGTAGTAGTTAGATTTAAAAAATAAAAAATAGCGACATTGAAATCGAAGTTATGCTTTAAAAAATGTGGGATGAGCATTTTTATAATTGCGTTGTTAATTAAATTTATGAACTTCACAATATCTAGTATTTTCCGATGCCAAATTTATATAAAAACCTCCATAAATCTCTAAACCCCTTTTTCCCCTTCTATGAGGGGCCGTTATTGACAATTCCCCCAATATTATAATTGGAACAAGGAATATATGTTACTCAATGCAGCTGCTGCTGCTGCTGCATTTGTTTCCTGTACATAGGTTAATTTCAACATTCATTATACTTGGATTTTGAAAATGAAGAAAACCATAAACAAATACAGTAGTATCGAATTAGTTTATACCTTTTCTAATCCATTTGAGTAATTGAAAAGGCAAAAAAAAAATAAAATGTAGTTAAACTGTTAAAAGTGGCATGCAAAACTCATACATAGCATAATTAGTGGAAGATAGATGAAGACAAGGGAGTGAGGGACACCGGATCCTTAGGAAGTGGGGGGAGAAATGTTCACTGTCCCCGAAATTACTAAAACAAACAGACGAAACGCGCAATGGCGATTTGACAATTACCTTCGCCGTTCGTAATATTCAGGTCTTTTTTCGGATATAAATTTTACTTTAAAACTATGATGATTCCGAATAATGCAACTCGTGTTGAATGGTAAGAACAAGCATTTTGTGATTTATCGAGTGTTTATGACGAGATTTGAACTCTAATCATAAGCGAAGTTCTGGTTTTGGATTCGGAAACCGAGTCACACAAATGATTTGATTGTCAAACTTTTTTGGGTTGCATTTAAACCTTTTCACAATGTCATTGGGATCCAAGACAGGCCGGTTGACTCGACCACTTATCGTGGAATTGGACAATGCTTCCCATTAACTTGCTTCTTCCCCAAACCCATTTACTAGTTGATTAGTTGATTATCAAGTGTCAACGTCTTGTTATTGTAGTTTTGTAAGTATTATTACTATCTTTTGGCCTTGTTTTAGCATTTTACTTCATTGGGTTATTTTTAATGGGAGGGAATAAGTATTTATATGTAGGAAAAAAAAAACGAATGTGAACACAATTGCAGTTCTGGTGCAATTCCTGGACGTTCAATTTCACTACTACCAACAGAAGGCCTATAGTATAATAGAATCCGTAGAAAGGTCGTTAGGAGGAATTGAGCACACATCATACCATACTGTATATGCTTGAAGCAGTTTCAAAAATTCCCGAAAAATAATTTGGAAAGGAAACCTCCAAAACAAGAATTTGCTAACAGCGATAGACTTATCACTAATCATGGGCGACACCCTTTGGGTTATATTTGTTTTTAACCTTTGGTAATCCGAATAGGACTCTAATGGGGGATTTCTCATGTTACAGCAAACCTTGTCCCATCCCACCTTCGTGCATGGCGGGTATGCCCCGGGTGGAAGTTAGCAGAAAATTAATGTATATGGTGCGAAAATTTAATAAAATAAAAGAAAATTATTAATGTATATAGTGTGAAAATTTATATAATACATAAATTTTTATTAAAAATTTAGAATATGTTTACTAATTACAAAAAATTAAGCAGGTGTGATTATACTCCTTGGTCTTCAATTTCAATTTTGCGTGAAATTTTTTTTTCCAGTTAGAAAAATTATCTTATTTGTTGAACTAAAATAATATAACATACATATCTATTTGTTAAATATTTTGATTATTGGGAATAAACGATGAACGAAATTAGTATGTTACCTTCATTCATCACTTACCATAATTTTTGCATTTTGGCCTAACTAGTTGTGGATTTTTTTTAATTTTTTTTTCACAAAATGTAACAAGTGTAGTGAAAATATACAAATGGACATTAATCATTTTTTAAAAAATACAAAAAAAAAACTAAATGTTGTAGTGTTCTAGTACCAAATACACACACGGTAAACAGGAATCTTGATTAACATTATCACTTACATACACGGTAATGCGAATCGACGAGGTATAATGCAAAATCGTACAAGTAAACAGGAATTAAAATTTCATCACCTACCCCATTAAAGGCAATGGCTATATCGGCTCTAATCTTGTAATGTTTTCATTACGCCCAATCTTTCAAAATGACCCTCTAATCTTTTATAAATTATTTTTATTACAATAAAAAAATTTAATAGATCATTCAAAAGACAGATAAAATAGCAAACTGGAGCATTTGACATTGTTGATGAATGACGGCAAAATGTACAGTGACATTTATCGGTTGAAACTTGGAAGTTCTACCATGTTAAAACTTAGGAGCTGTTTGTTTCCTTGGAATCGAATTCAGGAAACAGATTCCAAACCGTTTCAATTGTTTGGTTGCCTGGAATTGGGTTCTTGAAATGGACTGAGTCCAAAAGAATGAATCGCCCCTTCTCTCCCATGATTCAAGTTGAATCCGAGCTTCAATCTTTTTTTGATTTTTTTTTCTTTTTTATCTTAAAGAAAATTTCCTTTATCTTTTCCTTTCTTCCCCTTCCTTATGTCCAAGCCCAATCACTACTAGCCGTAATCTAGCCGTCGGTATCAGTTCCATAACTATCACCGCCGCCTCCACCTCCGGCGTTAGTGCCATTAGCCACCACCATCTTCTAACTATTTCTTGTAGCCCGATTTATTCCCAATTCAATATATCAAAATTAACAATTATTTCTAAACCATGAATATAAATCAACAATTTAGATTTACCCTTAGAAAAATTCAGATCTGAATACAAATAGTGGAAGAAGATGTACTTTATTCCTTTTTTTTCCGAATTCGAAGTAGCAAATTTATTTGGAGTTGCGTTGCTTTTGTTCTTGTACATTGGGTTATCCAAACAAATTCTAGTTTACGGATCTTGTGAGGGAAAAGGAAAGAGCGGGGTGATAATATTCATTGGTTTGAAATGGAGGATGGAGGATGTTGACTGGTGGGTGGTTTTGATGCTTCGAGATTGGAGGGGTGAAAGTGGAAGGTTTCTGGGGTTAAGAATGTTCTGTGAAGATTGGTATTTGGCGGAAAAGATGGTGGTTTATGAAGGAGATGGAATGTAGCAGCAATGTTGGGTGAAGATTGGTGGTGGTGGTGATGGTGGTTTTCGGTCGGGGAAGTAGTGGATGTGAGAAAGGAGATAAGCAGAACTAAGGGAGAAAGGAAGAGATGGAAAAAAGGGATTTTTTTTATTTTTTTTATAATATTATAATAATAGGAATCTATATCTTTTTTTTTTATTATTCAAAAAGGAGGCACCGAGCCTAATATTTACATAGCTATAATTCTAGGATACGAGACTCCCACGACATCATGGTAGAGCCAATCCCTAACATTCATAGGGGGTTGAACAAAAGAATGGTAGCCCCATGGCAACTGTTTTGCTAGGGAAGCTAGATAGTCCGCTGAGAAATTCGATTCTCGTGACTGTGTCAGACTTTAACTGTCCATTGCCGGCTAAGAAGATCTTTGATGGCTTGCAACAGGTGCTCGTGTCTCCCCGGATCCCTACCCCTTCCTGTAACTATGGCCACAACGCTTTGATTGTCCACCTCCGCTAGGACTTTCCTCCACCCTCCTTCCCATGCTAATCTCAGACCCAGATACAGCCCCCATATTTCAGCTCCTGTAATTGTGGTGTGACCAAGATTTATTCCAAAACCACCCAGTCATTGCCCCCTTTCATCTCGAATCAGCCCCCTGCTGTAGCCAGTCCAGAGGAATTACAAAAAGACCCATCCTTGTTGACTTTAACCCACCCTTCCGGTGGCGGCCGCCAGGAAACAAAGGTCAAGGTTTTTGACGGTCCAACAACCCCCAGCATACGGGTGGATTTTAAAGCCCCCCCCCCCCACTTGCTCCACCTGTATTCTGACCTCCCAAAGCCTCCTATACAGAGGCACCTTCAGCTCCTTGAAGACGAAGTCGTTTCGCCAGCTCCATAGTTTCCACACGGTGATCCCAAAAATCTACTGCCATTCCATGGCTGGACAGCCATAGGAGTTCCTCAAATTTGCTAGGGTCCATCTCTGGATCCCATCAGTGAAGAACCCCTGTTTAATATTGCTTAGCAGCAGCTTGAGCCAAAGTTGTCTCGAGAGCGGGCAGTCTCTAACTATATGCAACATCTTCTCCGGCACTACCTCACATTGCGGACAAGTTGGCGAGGAGGCTAAGTGTCTTCAACACCGTTCGTGATTAGTCAACAATTTTTCTTTGGCCATGAGCCACATAAAGTTCCTCACCCTCTGTTGCCCTTCCCATGCCCATATCTCCTTCCATAAGGGTCCCAAATTCATTCCCGAATCTGCCTGCATATTATAGGCCGATTTGGTGGTGAATCTGCCATCCTCACTAAAAGGCCAGAATACCTGATCGCATCCTCCACCAAGTGACCGAATGCAGCCCAATTCCACTGACCCTCCTGGGTTACATAATCCCGGGCTTTCCAGTCCAACTGATTCACCGGGATCCGGTCCACTGCCGATTCCAACAGTGGCCTACCATTAGGTAGCCAACAGTCTCTCCAAAAGTTCACCTTTTTACCATCGCACACATCCCACCTAACACCTTTCATTACTTGAGCCCACACCTTCACTATGGACCTCATTACCACCGAGCCTCTTCGCCAATCCCGCTCTTGCAAGTCTTCGAGCCAGTCTCCCAGCCCATATTTCGCCTTAAGGACCCTCACCCATACCTTGTTTGGGCTGGCCAGCAGCCCCCAAGCAAGCTTCATTACCAATGCCCTGTTCATGCTCCTGGAATCTTTCAAACCTCCTCCCCCTTGCTTCTTCGGCGTGCACATCTCCTTCCAAGCTACCAGACTGAGTTTTTTGTCACCATTGCCACTCCATACAAAGTTCCTACAAATCCTATCCAGCTCGTCACAGATAAAACATGGAAGTAGCACCGTCTGCATGGAATGATATGGTAGAGCCGCCAAGACAGATTGGGTTAGAGTAACCCTCCCTACCATACTTAAAGAATTAGCCTTCCAACCTTGTAATCGGTCCCTTGCTTTCTGGAGGATGTTATCATAGGTCTGCATAGTGACTCTCCTATGAATGAATGGCATACCTAAGTATTTACCCAAGTCATCTGTCTCCCCAAAGCTCAGTTGCTGGGATAACTGAGTTCTCTCCTCCCCTACCACATTTTTTGAAAAGAACACTTTAGTCTTTTCCTTGCTCACCGTTAGTCCAGAGGCCTCTGAGAACACATCTAGAACTTCCTGAACCACGTTCACTTGATCCACGGAGACTTCCAAGAACAGGAATATGTCATCTGCAAAGAGGAGGTAAGGAATCCCCAAACCCGGCCTTCCAACTGTGGTCGGCTTCCACAATCCCTCCCTAATCTTCAAATCAATCAAGTGGACCAGCCTTTCAATGCACATAACAAAGAGGTAAGGGGAGATGGGATCTCCCTGGCAGATACCCCTTGTTGGTTTGAATTCCCCAGACGGGATGCCATTCCATTGCACCCTCATAGTAGCCGACTCAATGCAACCCATTATCCCATTAACAAAGCTATCAGGCAGCCCCACATGAAGGAGGGTATCTCGGATAAAAGCCCAACTGAGGGTATTATAGGCTTTCTCCAAGTCCAGCTTGATCGCCATTCAACCCTTCTTCCCTGTCTTAGTCCTCATTGTATGCACGAGTTCTTGTGCTATAACAATATTGTCCGTGATGTTCCTCCCCGGCACAAAGTTTGACTGAGCTGGGCCTATAAGATAAGAAAGAATCTATATCTTAACCAAACACATTATTCGAATCCATGAATTCGTGATTATTTGAATCTAATCCGCCATCATTCAAATCCGTTTCCTGAATCCGTTTCTAGTTGGCGAAACAAACGGCTCCTTAAAATCCCTTTAAAGTTTAAACTTGGAAACAAAGTGAAAGCACATCACAAATGGTAAGCCATGTTGATCAACACAAAAGTAGATGTAAGTCCCCTCATTGCCGATTCTTTGATTTTTTTTATCTTTATTTATTTATGAAAATAATACTTACTAGTAGAAAAAACATGAGTGACATTGAAAGACACCAAATCAGCTGGTCGTCAATTACTTCAATTTAACACCCCTGACCTGACAAACATCAGTCCACCTCACTCTCAAATCTGTCATCTTTAAATTGTACCTTCTCATTCCCTCTACCCAATACAGAATTTATAAAATCAGGCTTTTTTTTTTTTTTTCTCCCACGAGCTGATTAGTAATGCTGGAGCGTTGAGCCTATTCATTCGCGATTCAGAAAGAAAGATCACGGCCGTCTAAGAAGTGAAAAAATGGAGTTGCATGATATTCCCCTGTGATTGACTCCACGGGATCCCCCCACATCTTTTTCCCTCGTTAAAGTATCCCGCGGGGGAGACGATGCTTTCCAGCCTGGCCTCACTCCTTTCAAATTTATATTCCTTTAATTTTCAAAAAAAAAAAAATTTATATTCCGTCGCTGTCACCTCCACAATTTATATGTCTTGGGTCCCACATTTTCAAAAATTGCTCAGAGTTACTATTTCACCCCTTCTTTTAATTATTATTGTCTCATTGCTTTTTTTTGATTTCTTGCAATATATTTCGAATAGGTTGAAATATAATTTCCTAGTGCAAAAATAGTTTAAATTATAATCAGTGAATTTCTATTAAAGTTAATATAATTCGCAAAATAAAATGCTAACAAATCTTTTTTAGAAAAAATAGAAAGAGTACTAGTATTAAACTCATAGAAAAGTTCATTCACAATCCTTATAGTAATTAATACACGTATAGAAAGATATATACAGTGAACATACCTATAAGTTTGATGACACAAGATGTATAAACCGGTGGATCCTAAACCCTATAATGAACACTTCATGAGAGATTTTCATTACATATACAATATGCCCAAAAATTTATACTACTATGTTGTATTGAGGCTGTTATGTATTTTTTTGACGTATTATATTTACTTCAATTACTAGGCTATAAATAATCAATTATAATGTAGTTAAAATCATTAACTACTTCTAATAACAAGTTGTTACAATTTTTAAATATTATTCATTCCATCTCAAAATTATTGTTCATTTTGAATTTTTCTTTTAAAATAAACTAAAATAAAAAATTAAAATTAGACAATAATTTTAAGACTTAATAAATATACAAATGGGCAGCTAGACAGTGTCTTGTGAAGTAGTAGTGGTACATGAAAATTCCTTGGTGTTGATGTTGCATGTGTGTATCAGTTATCATATTCTACTACGCTTTGACTTATTATGTGCCAATAATACGCAATTACAGTGCAAGGAACTCACCCATTTTTTTCTCGAATTTAATCAATACATACTAATACTACGCAAACAACTAGATTGGTGGCATTTTATTTAAGATCAACACGCTTGAAACTTGAAAGATCTCAACGTCGAAATCAGTTCCTTTCATTGCCAAAAACCAGTTTCATTTTTTTTCCGGGCATAACTTGATATATTATTATTACTCCCTCCGTACCAAAATAAGTGTCGTTTACACACAGTTTAAAAAAATAATAAATATAGTAGTTAAATTATTAGAATATCCTCAACTAACTCTATTAAAATAAATGCTCCCCAATAATATTATTTCTTTTGAGGGTATGTCAGGAAATTTATGATAAAAAAAAAATTAGAATGCGAAAACGACACTTATTTTAGAATTTCTCTATTTTGCTAAAACGACACTTATTTTGGAACGGATGGAATATATTTTACTATTTGTGATTTAATAATCTCACCACATATCATTTCCTATGTCACGATACAAAATGGGTAAGCATGTCATTTCACTTCAACAATTTTCTCATTTATTATTTCCCCTCACTACAAAGTACTACAAACAATTTGGGAGTAGCCACAATTTTTCTTTTTTCCCTCTCCTTATCTCATCATTTCCATTTTCCCCATGACCACATTTCGAGAAACAGCAATACAATAATCATCCTTCTTCACCCATCCAGCTCATCCTCCTCCTCTTCATCAAAACAACACTCACCACCATTCCGCCGCCGTCCTCCGCCGCCATGCCACCTGACTCCATCATCATCATCGCCACCGCATTCTCCCTTCTCGTCCTCCTCCCGGCAGCCGCCGCGGACCTCCCGCAATTCCACGAAGCTCCGGCATTCCGAAACGGGAAAGAGTGCCCCTTCTCCACATGGCCCGCCAGCCCACACGATCCCGCCACCGTCCACATCTCCATGACCCTGGACTACTCAACCCCATACCTCCGTGGCTCCGTCGCGGCGGTGTTCTCCGTCCTCCAGCACTCCACCTGCCCGGAAAACACCTTCTTCCACTTCGTCACCACCACGCGGGGCCAACCTTTCCTCCACCTCAACTCCACCATCACCTCCACTTTCCCTTACCTCCGTTTCCGCCTCTACCACTTCAACCCAACTCTGGTCAACCACCTAATCTCCTCCTCCATCCGCCGCGCACTCGACCAGCCCTTGAATTACGCCCGCATTTACCTCGCCGACATCCTGCCCGCCGCCGTGAACCGCATCATTTACTTCGATTCCGACCTAATCATCGTCGACGACATCTTCAAATTGTGGAACATTAACTTATCGTCCCACGTTTTAGGTGCACCGGAATACTGCCACGCCAATTTCACCCATTACTTCACTTCTCGCTTCTGGTCCAACCCATTATTTTCCGGCACGTTTAAAACCCGTTCCCCCTGTTATTTCAACACAGGGGTGATGGTGATGAATTTGGAGAGATGGAGATTGAATGGGTACACGAACAAGCTGGAGCACTGGATGAGGATCCAGAAACGACACCGGATTTACGAACTGGGTTCGTTGCCGCCGTTTCTGCTTGTATTTGCCGGAAACGTTGAGAGGGTGGAGCACCGGTGGAATCAGCACGGATTAGGTGGAGATAATGTTGAAGGGTTGTGTAGGGATTTGCATCCGGGCCCAGTTAGCTTGCTGCATTGGAGTGGGAAAGGGAAGCCATGGTTGAGGTTGGATTCCAAGAAACCGTGTCCGTTGGATAGTCTCTGGAAGCCTTATGATCTATTCAAGCACCGACATTTATTTTCCGACAGCTGATGATGGGGTGTACAGTACGGTGGATTAGGATCCCCCCGTGAATTAGTGGATGATTTCAGAATTCTCAATCGGGAAAATTGAGAATAAAGGAGGGGTAGTTATGGGATTTTGGATGGATGATGAGGTAACTGAGAATTGGCGATCGGTTAAAATTTGGTCTTAAACGCCGGATGCGGGATGAAAAGCTGGAACGTGGCGGCGGCGGTGGGCGGCGGAGAGGCGGTGGTGGTGGGTGATGATGAGTAGGAAGAGAATGATTGGTGCATTGTGTTAGAAATTATTTTTTGAAAAAAAAAAAGATTATATTGGTGGTATGTGGAAAAGCATGGTTGGAATCCATGGTTTTGCTTATGGGAGGAGGGGGGTATTGTCCTTTTTTGTGTGAGTGCTGCTAATTGAAATTATTTTTTGTTCCCTTGTGGGCTATGAAGAAGTTATTCTATTTTGGTTCTTTTCATACTTTGATGATGTCAATAATCAGGGACTGATTGTGTAACTGGAGACTCCATTTTTACTTGGAAGATTATATTGAAATCTGTCGGTAGTCCTTCGTGTACTATACTGTATAGTAGTACTAATCTGGCAAATTGCACTAGGTTTTTGGATGGTATTTAGTCTTACGACAATTTCAATTTTGTATCATTAGTAAAAGCGACGGTCATTGAATTATACTTTTTCTATTTTAATTTTATTGTTCGAGTGACTACTTACAGCTTACAAATATGAATTATTGAATTCTTGGATCCAATGGAGAAGTAAAGGATGTTAGTATCTGTGTCCGAAAAAATAGTACTCCCTCCATTTTGAAATATATGTCGTTATTTAGTGAAATTTTTTTAAATATATGTCGTTTTCACAAATCGAGGCATATTTGACCATATTATATCAAAATTGCCCTTACATTATAAATGAAATAATATTTATAATGAATTTTTATTGGTTTGTGATGAATTGTGTAGACAATTAATAAGGGTGTTTTTGTATTTTAACTAAATGAATTTATGTATTCTTGGTTTTGATTATAAAAAAAATGGAGGGAGTATAGGGAAAGTTATAAATTTTGGGAAGAAAGAGTGTCACTCTGGTTTCCATTGCTTTTGGATCCGATTCGCAGTTGTTGGGGTCAACTTTCATTTAATTGAGCAGCAGACGTTATAAAGCATGAGTTAGTGAGTTACATTATTATGAGTTTCAGCAAATTTCACCGCTCAATTAATTGCACTGCATGGGTCTGGGCTCTGTCATAGTATTCAATTTCAGGCTTGGGTGGAAAAGTCAACATGCAAATGGGAGAAAAATAGTACTCCTCCTTTCCGATAATGGTAATTTTCTTGAGATGAATGGGGCAAAATGCAAAATTTATTATTGAAGTCTCCGGATGGGTTGCGAGTTGCTATTTGCTACTGTTGCTGGCTTTTATTATTGAAGAAAGGATCCTATATAATGTTGTCGTGCAGGGAGTATCTTTCTAAATGATTTATGAAAGCATAAAGTCCTAAATAATTTAACAAATCTAACCAGTCGACGAAAGTGATAAACGAAAGCAATAGAAAACTGCATAAATCATACTCCCTCCGTCTCATAATTATTGTCCACTTTACCCAAAAACTTTTGTTCCAAAATTATTGTCTAATTTGACTTTTTATGGATCAAGTTACACATTTGTTCTTAGTAAAAAACATTATCCATAAAATCTTAGTGGTTAAACAATTACTTATGTAGGGGTATATCCGGTTGTTTAAGGTAAAATATAATTAAGTTTGACAAAAAATAAAATCTTCTATTCTAGTAAAATTGGATAATAATTATGGGACGGAGTGAGTAGTTGAAATGAAAGTGCACTCCATTTTCTCTAGCTTAATTGAAGCAGTTAAACGCGTAAAGAAGCTTTTCGGATGATTCTTCAGGAGCTTTAGAACTATTTTTTGCCTTAAAAAAAAAGAAAAAGAAAGATGTACACAGTACACTCCCTAATGCCCTCTGTTGGTGAAGATCCAAGAGTTAAAGTGGTGGGCCCAAAAGGGCCATGCAGAAGTCTCCTCGTGTGAGTAAAGAACAGAATTTATTGGATTCCAAAAGCAAAGGACGCCATGGCATTTGGGCTCAGTCAATCTTGTTGAATCATCCACGCGACAATTACCATCCATCCACCCTATGAAGTTGTAAGTATTATTGTGATCCCGAGGTTGAATATTCAAGTATAGAAAAAAGTATCACCTCCATCTCAAAAAAAAAATAAAAAATCAAAATTTAATGTATAATTTTTTTGGGACGAAAAAAGTGTTACAGAAACATATAATTTCAAACCACTTGACTAATATACAACCTCATATCATCAACTTTCATTAAATAACGATATCCTAGTGTATTAACCAGTTGGTAAAATGAAGTGGCCATTAGCTAAGTTTAGGTACTAGTTTATTTCTGATAGCATTAATGACGAGAATTCAGTACATTTGGTTATGGTGGTGTAACCAAAAGGAGATGGAGTTGATATTTTTTTAGGAAGACTGGAAGAGGAACCACCATAACTACAATTTGATTAGCCTTATTCTTTTGTGGATACTTCCCTTCATGGCTTGGTTCCATTTTAATAGTCTAACTTGTTGAATTATTTTGTTCAACAACACCAAATCACCCTCTCTATCAAGTCTTGCCTACGCTCCTCACGCGCCCCCAAAAGAACCCTCTCGCATTCCATAAATTCTCCCAAATCCCGACCTTCAACGCTGCAATTGATGTCTAAGCTTTGTGATTCTTCAAGTCTGAATTAATTTGGCTTCTCCAGATTAATACCAACCGAGCTAGCCCAATAATCATCCAGCTCTGAATCAGCCACATCTCGAACAATCGAAGAATGAAGGAAGCTTCAACAATCCGACAATTCTGATCTGGTGGACGGATTCTTCAAAGTCTCTGCAACTGATGGGGTTGTCCCTGTTCAGACAACAATCAAGCGCCAATCGAAGAAGCTTTTCTTGAAGTCACAGATTCATTCTCGAAAGTTTGGTGTTTGATAATTTTGTAGGTCTCGCGCTTTCTAAGATTGGGTACTTCTGATGGAAGAATTGCAGATTGCTACTCATGGAAAGGTTAATAAATATCTCTCTCTTGTCAAATGTATACTGCAACAGCAGAATTCCTTACAAATTTCAGCTTTGGGTTTTGCCATCCCAAAAGCAATAGCCATCGGAGAGTTACTTAAATGTCATTTTCTCGATCTTCAACAAAATTTATCTACTAAAATGACAAATGGGATGTCTACCATTTCCATGACTTTGAGCAAAGCTGCATCTCCAGAAAGGGGGTCTCCAACTAAAGACTCTCCAATGAAAGGTAACCAAAAGAAAAAGAAGCATAGTGGCGCACATGAACGTTTTCCTCGTAAGCAGAGAGAGCAAATGATTTGGAGGCCAATATCCACTTCCAAACCTGAAGGAGCTCCTGTTGAGGATAATATTTCTGGTTCGGTTTTAGCAGAGCCCATGGATTTAGTACATGACGCACAAATCATATCTGCAGTACCACAGAAGGCTATTGATCCGGGGAGCACAATAAACTTACCACTCATCAACAAGACTATTGCCCATTCCGTCACCTTCCACAAAACAATGATAGGCAGACCCCACAGGAAGTGGAAACGCTCCTCTAGTAAATCTTCCTCAGTTGGTTTTTCAAGCTCTTGTCATTTTTCTGCTGGTTGTAAAAGGAAGTCCCTTGAGGTGGACCATACGCATACCCATATTACACAACCTTACAAAAGGAGGCTATTGGTCTCACAAAGTAGCCAAGGTTTAGAGGCCTTTGGTACTACCCAGACTACGGTGCCTGGTAAGTTCTCTACCTTTCTGAAGTGTTTTGCGGCGGTTGAACCAGATCAACTACCTTTGTTTCCATGAATATCCTTTCTTGGAATTGTAGGGGCATGAATAATGCCTCATCCAAATATGTATTAGGTAGATTAGTTAAAAATTATAAGCCGAGTATTTTGTTTGTGATGGAGACCAAGACTAGTAAGGTTAATGTGTTGGCTTGGCAACAGTCCTCTATTTTTAATCATTCTGTCGTAATAGATCCTGTAGGACTTAGTGGTGGTTTGTGTCTTTTTTGGGTTGATGGTGTTCAGTTACATGTGCTTTATTAGAATGTCAATGTAATAGTTACCAAGGTTAGGGAAACTACGGGCCTGGAATGGTTGGCTATTTTTCCGTATGGTCCCCCTTTGCAGCAAGACAAGGCTGTATTTTGGTCACATTTAAATGGGATCATCCAGGGCTTTAATTACCCCAGTATCTTGTTAGGGGATTTTAATCAACTCTTAGATCAGGAGGATAAATTTAGTGGGCGTCCAGTTAGGCCTCAAGACACAAGAAACATACGAAAGGTACTGTCTTTTAATGACTTAGAGGAATTGAAGTATTTGGGTTGTTGGTATACATGGACAAACAAGAGACAAGGGCATGAGGCAATTTTTGAAAGGTTAGATCGTGCTTTTGTCAACAAGCAATGGCTTACCACTTTTAACAAGGCTGTCATACGGAACCTTCCAATCATGAGCTCGGATCATGGCCCAATTCTTGTGGAACTTAAGCAAAAATACTCTCAGAAGAGACATAAAAATTTGAGCAGTTCTGGGTGAATTGTCCTTCTTCAAAGGATTTGGTAACCCAAGCTTGGACTCATTCTCCACTTCATATTGATAGTCTCCAGGATAGCCTCTCATTCCGACTGGATCGAACTTTGTCTAAACTCAATCAGTGGAGTAAAAGGCGTTATGGCAACCTAGACACTCTAGTCCTCAAGCTGACTGAGAATCTGGCACAAGTTCAAATGCAATGGGAACGAAATAAATCAGATGAGCAGCTTAGCATGCAGCTGGAACAGCACCGAGTGGAATTGGAGGAAGCACTACAGCTACAACAAGATTATTGGCATCAGAGGGCCAAGCTTAACTAGTCACAATTTGGAGACAGAAAACACCAAATTCTTCCATAAATGGGTTGCTAGAAAGAAAGGGAACAAATGGATCACTGAGCTATGTGATGCTCAGGGTATATGGGTTCAAGAACCTGATCAACTTCGCTCTCTGCTTCTCAGTCACTTCTCAAATATTTACATGTTAGTGGAATCAAGCTCTCAGAATTCTCAGTCTTCCTCATTCCTTACAGTCTTCTTGCAAATGTGAGTGAATCTTTGACGTCAGATCAAGCAGCTCAGTTAGATGCTCCATTTACCGTGTCAGAAGTGTGGTCCGCCCTCAAGCAAATGTCTCCTGGCCCTAATGGGATGCCAGCAGGATTCTATCAACATTACCAGAGCATCATTGGTTCGGATGTCCAATCCTCAATTCTGGATGCTTTCAATACTATGTATTTTCCTCCAGAATGGAACCTGACTCATTTGGTCCTCATTCCTAAGACGTCTACTCCGACGACCCCAAATGACTTCCGTCCAATCAGTCTGTGTAATGTCAAGTATAAGATCATAGCAAAGATGATTGCAAATCGTCTCAAACATGTTATGAATGATCTTATTGATGAGAACCAGAATGGATTTGTTCCAGGCAAAAACATCAGCGAGAACATTATTATGGCTCATGAGGTCATTGAATGCATAAGGAAGCAAAAAGGTGAAACAGGTTTGGCTGCCATCAAACTGGATATGAGTAAGGCCTATGATCGAGTCTCCTGGTCTTTCTTACAGGCTGTCCTTTACAAGGCGAACTTTCCTCCTAGACTACTTTCTTTGATCATGCACTGTGTGACTTTAGTCTCCTATTCCCTCCAATTAAATGGCGAAAGTTTACCACCCTTCTCTCCAAATAAAGGATTGAGACAAGGATGTCCTTTGTCTCCATACTTGTTTATCCTTTGTCAGCAGGTTCTTTCTTCTGCCATTACATCAGAGATCCACAACTTTACAGGTTTAGGAGTGAAAATCAGTCGCCATGCACCCAGGGTGAGTCATCTCATGTATGCGGATGATAGTCTCTTTTTCATTGAGAGCAAGGAGTCTTCTGTTTTAGCTTTAGCAGGATTACTGGAAAACTACACCAACTTCTCTGGCCAGCGCATAAATTTCCACAAATCTTCAATCCTCACTAGTGCTAATATAAGCCCGGAAATGAAGACCTTCATTCATTCCATTCTCAAGATCCCTGCGGGACAGTTTCACAGTAAATATTTGGGAATGAGTCTTGACTTCAAGGAGAAGAAGACGACTATCTTCAAGGAATTCACTTCAAAAATCAGCAGCAAATTTGCTTCCTGGAAAACCAAACTTCTATCATTACCTAGTCGAGTCACCTTGGCCAAATCTACCTTGTCCTCCATGTTGGTGTACCCAATGGGAGTATTCAAGCTTCCTGCTCACACCTTGCATAAGGCTGACCAGATTATGGGTAATTTCATTTGGAAGGGAGATAAACAGGAACATAAAATTCATTGGAGAGCATGGAAGAAAATTACAAAATCTCCTTTTCTTGGTGGTTTGGGTCTCAAAGCTACAAAAGAATTCAACCAAACACTCTTAGCCAAACATGCATGGAAGTTAATCTCTCAACCCCACTCTCTCCTGGCTAGACTTTTTCGGGCCAAATATTGTAACAGTGGCACTTTTCCTCCGGTACAACCTCCCAAAACTTCCTTATGGGGTTTTAAGAGGATCATGTGGGGAGCTGAACTTCTACAGACTTATACTAAATGGAAGGTAATCTCAGGCAAGGATATCCATATATCAGCAAACTGGATTCCTGATACACAGAATAATTCGATTGGAGTTCATTCCATTTCAGCTATGACTAACTTGACTGTCGACCGTTTTATTCATCCAAATGGTCAATGGAAGATTCGGGCTCTTAGGAATTTCTTTCCGGATCATATTATCTCCCGCATTACTGGGATCTTTATAGATCCGGCAAGACTACATCAAGAGGATAAGCTCCATTGAACACTTACTGACCATGGGAGTTACACAGTCAAATCCGGGTATCAATTGGCCATCAACGCGCTCCTACCACAACCCGTACCAAGTCCAGCAACTCAGAATGCAGAGAAATTAGCTTGGAAACGACTATGGAATTCTAGAGTTCAACCTAAGCACAAGTTTCTCTTCGGGAGAGCAATAGTCAATGTTCTTTCTACTCGGTCAGAACTATGCAAAAGGGGAGTTCAAGTGGACTCATTATGCCCTAGACGTGGTAGGCAGGAGGAGGATAGCTTACACTTGTTCTTTAAGTGTGAAGCCTCTCGGGCCATCTGGGCTTTGGCTTTTCCTCAGTTTGGCTCGATATTCAATTCTACATATGACTCCTTCCATCAATGGTTCATTCAGTTGTCTCAGTCTCATCCAGATAAAGAGGAGGTTGATTTGTTTCTCATCATCAGCTGGAGGATCTGGCTGGAACGGAATGATAAAATTTGGAGAAACCAATCTCATGATCCGATGGTACCTTAGAAACTTGTCCAAAATGAAGTCACTCTCCACAAGAAAAGCCTTGGCAGACTGATAGTTGGAAGACCTTCTTCCAACATACAATCTTCACTACCACAGAGGGGTCCGACTAAGTCCTTAGTCATTTGTGATGGATCGTTTAGCCATCAAACACGCAAAGCGGCTGGTGCTTGGAAGATACTATCACATCATGGTATGGTGATGCAAATCAAAACGGTGGACCTAAGTGTGCTTTCCCCTTTTCAAGCTGAGGCAATGACTTGTCTCTTGGCATTGAAAGAGGCGTTACATTTAGGGATCACTCAACTTCAAGTTTATACGGACTGTGAAGCTCTGATTGGAGATTTACGATCTGCTTTATTACCTTCTGAGGCCCAGGAGGTACTTTCTTTGTTAGTAACTAGTATTTTCTTATTTCAGTCTTGCTCACTGGTTAAAGTGAGTAGATAAGAGGTTGTAGAAGTTCATAATTTAGCATTCCATAGAATGCAATGTAATAGATCATGTACTTCTTAATTAATATACAAGTACCTTTAAAAAAAAAAAAACACCAAATCACCAATGTACAAAGTGCAAGCCCAAGGGGGCACTATTCACGTAACCAAAAGGTTGCATATGAACAGTAATGTACTTATTTGGTGCTTTACTGTTCCTAAGCACCAAATTGGTGCTTGACTTTTTTTTTTTTAACTTTTATTTAATTTATATAATTTATAAAAGAACCCCTTTAAATTAACTAATGTATAATTTATAATTATTGTATATTATTATAAAATTACTAAATTTATAAATATAAATTTGATGAATTTTAATTGATCTCATGTGTATGATTTACTATTTAATTTATAACATTACAAAAAAAACACAATATGAATAAAAATGTATATATGTTATATTAAGAAAAGAAACATATATGGACAAAATAAATACATTAAAATTGAGATAATTAACAAAACACTCATACATTGACATTAATAATAAGAAATACAACTAAATGGAAAATGTTATTTTAATTATTAGTTTGATGAAATATGGTTTGTCAAATTTAATTTATTATAATATATTTTTTGTGATGTCGATACAAATATTTTGACTATATTGGAAATATGAACAAAAATGGCTTATCTTTTGTAATTTAATAAACTTAATAAAAAAAATAAAGGAAAAAGTAGAATTGGTGATTTGTGTATGAAAATTATGCTGATGGTTGGACTTTAAATCACCAATTTGGAGATTTGGTGTGCACCAAATAGGTGTTGCCTTGGGGATGGTCTTATAAGCACTTTATATCAGAGGAATAATGCAATTATAATTATAATTAGACAGAGAAAGTACTCCCTCCGGTCCTTAATATAAAAGTATTTTGATTTGTCTCAAATTTCACCTAATATATATTTATAATTGACGAAAAAATGCGTACCAGGTGAAATCTAAGACAAATCAAAATGCTTTATACCTCCTACGGTCCTTATTATAGGGAAATTTAATTTTATTTTAGGTTTCACCTATGATGTATTTTTAATTTAAAAAAAAACCTTAAACATATATTTTTACATACGTTGTGTTCTCCTCATTATTAGGATATGTTTTTAAGTTTTTTATTTCAATTAAAAAGATATCATAGGTGAAATTTAGGACAAACTTAGGACAAATCAAAATAATTTATAATAAGTACCAGCGGGAGTATTAAGGAACAGAAGGAGTACTAAGAAAGTGATTAGGCTTAAATGCTTAATCCTTATGTGTGTCCTGACTCCTGATTTGGTAATACTCTCCTAAAATTGATGGGCCGTCATATATTCGACCTAGCTAATGGACTTAAGTTTTCTGGAAGCGCAAAATTTCAATTACAAAGCCCAACAGAATGCTCAGAAAATGAACATACGTGTCAGTTGTGGCTCGTATTAACCACTAATCCAATTAACGATTTCCCTCCACAAAAAATACATATACTTCCCAGAAAAGAACAAAATAGGGAAGAGTAATGAAGGAGACTGGAAGAAAATCTAGTATGATGCGTAGCTAAAAATTGAAGTGAACAACAACCTGATGATTTCTTCGTGCTCCGAATTCGACTCTCAATCCTAAAATTCTGCCATGGCAACCGTTGCCGTAAATGGGTTAGTATCAAATGGAGGAAAGCTCCAAGCTTGCAACTCCAGGCCATGTTCTTCTTCTTCTTTCCTTGGAGGAGAAAGGCTCAAACTCAGGACTTTCTCCGATTCATTTCGACCCGGAAAATTTCACACCTCGAGGTCCAAAAATCTTGTAGTTCTGGCATCTGGGATTGATTTAGCTAACTTTGTTAATGACCTTTTTGTGGGTGTTGGAGTTGGACTTCCGTGTACGGTTATGGAGTGTGGTGATATTATTTACAGAAGCACACTTCCTAAATCCAATGGCCTCTCGCCTACAGTGCCTGGGGTGATTTTAGCATTAGGCACTCTGTCGTATTTGTGGGCTACTCCTGGTGTTGCTCCTGGCTTTTTCGATATGTTTGTGCTTGCATTTGTTGAAAGACTATTTCGGCCCACTTATAAGAAGGTTGGTGAATTTTTAATTGGATTTTTCTGTTTTCAGCAGTTTGATCCCTGAATTTAATTATCTGAAATTTTTTGGTGTCTTCTGTGCTTTTAATCTGCTGGCAGGATGACTTTGTCCTTGGGAAGAAATTGGGTGAAGGTTCATTTGGTGTGGTTTACAGAGCTTCTCTAACCAAAAATCCCTCTGCAAAGGTAAATTTGGCTCAAGGCCTACTCCGTCCTTTGCTTTAAGTTTTGTGGAGGTTATTATGTACTTGTTTATTGGGTTCACCGTCTCTTTCTAAATGTAAATTGTATTTGCATTCAGCCATTTCAATACTCAGGCGAAATGTTTTTTTTTTTTTTCTCTTATACTCTTGTTTATGTCTGATATAATGCTGCATTAGGAAAAAGTTTTGGTGTCCAAAAGTGTAATATCTTGTTTCCTTCGTTTCTTGAAGGGAGATTTAGTCGTGAAAAAGGCTACTGAATATGGAGCTGTGGAAATATGGATGAATGAACGTGTGCGAAGGGCTTGTGCTAGTAGCTGTGCTGATTTTTTGTATGGCTTTCTCGAGGTGTCACTCTATTGCCTAGTGTTTCTTGTATGATTATCACGATGAATATAAGACAGCTTCCAGCATTTATGTATCTATTTGCAAATGGATTCAGAGTTCTTCAAAGAAACAAGCCGAGTATTGGCTCGTGTGGCGATTTGAAGGAGAATCCACACTTGCAGATTTGATCCAGAGTAAAGAGTTTCCTTATAATGTAGGTTCCGATTCTTTACATATATAAGAGTAACCTATGCACGCATGTCATTTCCATAATTATGATCCAATCAAAATATTGTTTTTAGGCATAATCTAAAATCTCTTTTCTGGGCACCTTGGGTAAAAATATAGATAAACTATGGCAATGCATTTCATTCAGTTAAAAACACATGTCTACTACATAATCAACATTTGATTTAGTGTATCTTGATCATCGCTGTATTGAATTTTTTGATGCAATTATTTTTTTTTTTAATATCTTCTGGATTATTCATCTTTAGATATGCCTTACCTAGCTAAATTCTTCCATTGATAATCAGTTTACCATATTGAACCAATAGCCCAACTACAGATAATTTAGACTTTGCTTGCTTGTTTATTACTACATCTTGCAGCGTTTATTACATACTGTCAACATTGGTTCAAGGATCGCCTAAATGAAATCGTGTGTACTGCAAAAATATAATGGCAATATTTGATCTACATGGACCTCACACTGTGGGAGGAAGGCTTTCTTGTTGCTCTTGTTGATCGGAGGATTGCCTGGGATTTATAATTCTCAAACCATGCTTGTAGATGTGATCTCTCCTGTGATCCAATACTAGATTCATAGTTTTCAGTATTAGCTTTAATGGTATCCAGTGATTTGCTTTGATGAGTTATTCTAGAGTGTAGATTTAAAGGTCTAACTCATGGCAATGGGCTTTGTTTTCTACTACTGAACACTAGTTTCATAAACTGTCAGGTAGAGGCGCTGATTCTTGGGGAGGTTCTGGACTTGCCCAAGGGGATTGAAAGAGAAAATAAAATTATTCAGACAATTATGAGGCAAATCTTATTTGCGTTGGATGGTCTTCATTCCACAGGGATTGTACACAGGGATATTAAACCGCAGAACATAATTTTCTCTGAAGGTGACTTTTGTGTCTCAAATCTTCTCCAAAGAAGTTCAATCATTTCTAGACTTGATCGTTTATTACAAGCTAAGTGTTTCATTTTTATTATTATTTTCTTTCTTCTTTTGGTTCAAATGTAATGCAGGTTCTCGCTCATTTAAGATTATTGATCTTGGAGCCGCCACAGATTTAAGGGTTGGCATTAATTATGTTCCAAAGGAATTTTTGTTAGATCCAAGGTATTTTTTCCCACAATTTTGATCAATTACATCTCTTTCCTGTTACTCCAGAGAACTTAGAAATTAAATTGTTATACCTGTAAGTCCTCAGTTTTGATTCATGAGAATTTCTTAAAAGTATGGACTCTAATTGAGAAAAAATTTGGGAACGGTTGGTCTGTTGAGTAGGAAGTCATTTGGTCTGCTGTTTGGAAAACAGATAAAGTTGTTTTGTTTAATTACGTTGGCATATGAATTTGTCAGATAATGAGCAAGCATAGTCAAGCGTTGTCCTAAAAGTTACAGCCGATAATTGTTTTTAGGTCACCACTGCTAGTTAAGTGCTCTTTTTCGGTCCCTATTCCTAAAGTTTCTTTGGGACACTTTTCTTCAACAAGTATCCCCGCAGTTTATGTTGTCTGTTGAGACCTGAAAATTTATGTAGTAGCTTGTTGGACTGTCAACATAGTTGTTTTGCGCTAAAAAAAGTTGTGCATTAGATGCTCATTGTGGCTCTTTTATTCTTACCATTTATCATTTCCACAGGTATGCTGCACCGGAGCAATACATCATGAGCACTCAAACACCCTCTGCACCTTCAGTTCCAGTTGCAACAGCACTTTCCCCTGTCCTGTGGCAGGTCTGCTTTCTGTGAACTCTTTGGACTTCATTCTGTACATCCCAAATTTTCTGACTTCAACTTTCCATTATGATATTGAGCAGCTAAATTTACCAGACAGATTTGACATCTACAGCGCCGGCCTCATATTCCTACAAATGGTAAGCTAACAACGTCAATTGCTTTACTGGATTCCATTTAAGCCCTTATAATTTTTTTCTCTTTCCTATCTGCAAAACATGGCGAACGAATACTGGAAAACCCAATGAACAACTTGCAATTTTGTATCCTTTTTTTTTTTTTGTCTTTTATTCCTGTGCTGCTATAACTCACCAATACGACATACCATGACATGGTTAAAAATTTAGTTTGGAGGGGAAACTGTATGATCATTTAGAAAACATCATATAATGATGCTGAATTGCCCCTTATGGATGATTTACTTGCTAATGAGATTGAAATCCGTTTCCAATATGTAGGAATTACATCTCCTCTTATAGAAGAGCTGCCCCAATCTTCACATTGTGTTAAACTCTTGCGTAGGAGGATGGATAAATCAATAGTTCAGAGTTTTTTATGAAGCATTTTTTTCTGGTTGACTCGCTAAGATCGTGGACTGATAGTTACTTCTGTTTGCAAATTGCAATAATGGCTGTTTTAGTTTTTTACCCCGACTTTATCCCTCTAATTCATATTGACACTGAGCTCATATGTTGCAGGCCTTCCCTGGACTACGAACTGACAGTAATCTGATAACTTTTAACCGCCAGCTTAAGCGATGTGACTATGATCTGGTTGCATGGCGGGATACTGTCGAGCCTCGTGCAAACAATGAGCTGCGCAGGGGTTTCGAGTTGTTAGATCTGGATGGTGGAATAGGGTGGGAACTATTAACTTCAATGGTTCGCTACAAAGCACGCCAGCGGATTAGTGCAAAAACAGCTTTAGCTCATCCTTATTTTGACAGAGAGGGTCTATTGGCTTTATCATTCATGCAAAATCTGAGAATGCAATACTTTAGAGCCACGCAACAGGACTACTCTGAAGCAGTTACATGGGTCATTCAGCTGATGGCAAAGTCAGGAACAGAGCGAGATGGTGGCTTCACTGAAGCTCAACTTCAGGAACTTAGGGTGTGTATTATTTAGAATAAAACATTGCCAGTTACTGAACTCCAAATTACTTTTGATATGAACCACACTTCTGCACTACCTATTATGCAGGATATACAGCCTAGAAAGAAAAGTGCGCAAAGGAATGCACTTGCATCAGCTCTGAAGCTGCAACGGAAAATCATAAGGACACTGACTGAGAGCGTGGATGAACTTAATCGACGCCGGAAGAGCTTGTGGTGGAGCAGGTGGATTCCAAGAGAGGAATGAAAGTTGTAAATATGCCATTCTTTCTTTTTTTTTTTTTTTTGGTACCTAAAATTGCCTTCCAGCCTACACTAACTAATGTAGTGAGTAAATGATGTTCACTTGAAAAGAGATAAAAATGAATGTAAGTTGTATACTGGAAAACTTCTGTTATAAAAACATGGACATATACATACAGGAGATGTATAGATGACAAGTTAAAGAAAACTGAATTCTCTTTGAACTAGCTCATCTTATTATTTCGATTTTGAGAGTAGTTCCCAACTCTCCCAACTTTTTATATTAACACGGTTTAGGGCTTTAGGCTACTCCCGTTCTGCTCGTTGCAATTACAGGAATCGCGTTTCTGACTACAATTATGTTTTAGTTTGCCAGCTTGTCTCATGTTTTTGCCTTATGGATAATGCGCTGTTCCAAAGGTTGCCCTATTCGGGATCAACGATCCCTCAACCTGCAACATTGTATAACTACTAGAGTTGGCATGGATGGGGGGATATTTCCAGGCAAAAACAATGAAGAAGCATGGTAAGTGAGTCTGAGAATTAATGATGAACAAACAACTAATGTAGCTTAGCTTGCAACTCTCTTCTGAATCAAACAGAATAGAACCGACTGACACACATATGAAGTACGTACATAAATTTTGTTTTTTTTTTCTAAGAGTCTTATTGGTACAGCTAAGTAACTGTCATTTTGACTTAAATTCAATAAAACTCTCTGGAGAAGCAATTAAGCACCATCATCCAACCTTCCCAGTTTCTCCAGAGTTCTCAAACTCCAAATTAAAATAAACATTTTAATTATCGAGATTTGATCCCCGCACGTAAGAATACAACTCACGAACTACTCATCAACCTGTACTATTTTTCATTATTTTCACTGACTTTCTAAGCATTATATAAAAAAAACCGTAACCCATTCGTGTGGTTGACCGACCCCGTGGCTACCCCATCAAGAAACTTGTAAAATCCACGAGGCAAACACGTTATTACAATTAAAATATCACCCATGTATTTTAAATTTTACATATAAGCAAACCCTTGGATAGATAAATAATAATGTAAACTATTTTTTACCGTGAATATGAGAATTAATTACCATCTGTAGCGAGTATCTCAACTCGTATACTTGCTTAACTATGCCAGAAATGAGTTTCTGAAACATGAATATGTTACCGGTCATATATTAAGAGTTTATAGTTTTAAACTAGGGGTAAGTGAATTAATTGTGTTAAGTTTACAATTGACGTATAATTTTATCGCGTTTTATGAATATGGATCATAGAATACGACTTGTTATACCAAAAACTTTCACTTCTTTAAGTGATGCAGATCATTTAAAACGACATACTCTATGATGAATTGAGGTTTTTTCTTTTTCCCCCATCTATACGAGGACTATTATTCAATTTTCTATTTAGAATAATTACAAGTAAGTTGTAAGAATTAAAGAACTAATTTTCCATAAGATGATGTCGAGAATGGGAAGGACACCAGCCATATCAAACATGAGAGCTTCACGTGTGACCTGAACTTCTTGTTCTTTACAACCAACTTCCGATTTATTTAACAATTGAAAGTACAGCAGACCCACCTGGGTTTACAGTTGAATATGTATACTTAAGCCCGGAAGACTTCAATAATTATGGATTTTTCAGGTTTCTTAATCAGCTTTTGTCCCCCAACTTAAACTATAACATTAAGTTGGTTGACATTTTCTTTAATTTCCCCCATACTTTGGTCATACATCATAGTATGAATGTTTTATACCCGTTTATAGTTTACCATAATTGTTACAAAATGTATTTTTTGCTCTTTGTAGAATCATGAATGACTCAACAATGCTTATTTACTGTAGCATAGTGGGGGAGGAAGAAGCTTACCATACAATATGCACGGCTCTGAAGAATGTTATAAAATTTCAAACTAAAATTAGGGGTGACAATAAATCAAGGGTTCCATTTTATTATTATTATTATTATTTTGGTTCAGAATTAATCTTAACATCGTCTAGAATGTACAAGAGACAATGTAAAAGAATCCTTGTTTGCTAAAAGTTGGTAATTTAAACAATAGATAGAGGCTTTGCCAAGAATATTCACAACATTGTCATCATCAGGACTTGGAAGAGCGACTTTCTAGTTCACTTACTAAATGTATTATTTAAAAATTAGCGAACCAAAAAAATTAAACAAGAAATTTTGCATGCATGGGAGAGTTTAATGAGTGTTACACTACGTTACTTAGATTTGAGAAATACGATAACAGCCGTCCCTGAGCTAAGATACTGAGATTGACAGCTTCAAATTACTCAAATTTAATTAAGAAATTTTAGCCAATGAAAGGCAAATCAATTGTTTATTAGAACAATTTGGGCACTTGGGGGGCGTCGTTAGCTAAATGGGAGGAACACGAGATGAAGCAAGTGGGTTGGCTTTGCTTTGTAACCTGGTTAATTATGGGATTAAATTAATCAATCATTTGATTGGGTTTTCGAGCCTTTTCTTTTCTTGCTAGATTTTAGCAAGCAAAATGCAGCTTTTTATGGTCTTAAGCTTAGCAAAAAGATACTTTCTTTTAGGGTTCTTAATCAATTGATTAAGGGTTCCAAGAAGGGAATATGGCACTGTAATTTAGGGTTCACGTGAGGTTTCGTTTGACTGGCTTAATTTGTATTTTTGATCTAACATTCTAGCGTACGCCAATGTATCAAGCTCTCGTGCGACGCCAAAAGATTGTTCAGATTAATTACTCCTGTTCGTGACATTGTTAATTTCTTTCAATACGGTATAATAAATAAAACTCTTAATTTTGGAACGAGACGAAGTTAAATTTTGTCTTTCAATCAATGAGTGTACACAAGGTACAAAATTATTACAACTAAATTGAGATTGGCATACATAAGAAACTGAAAAATTCATACGATCGAGATTAGGTACGATAGAAGATATTTGAACCCTTAATTTGCTAAATGCTATAGGTATAACGAACAAGGCGCAATGATCATGATTAATTATACATAATGAAAAGTTGATAATCAAATTGCTGGTGAATTAGTTTTGTGTTGAAATGAAGACAAAACATTTTCCTTCCTTCCTGCTAAGTGAAACAGTGACAAAGCATCAATATTTCCAACAGGGTTGTTTGCATGTTCCCTACAGGAAATTTTTGCGGCACACCTTAATTTAAGGATTATGAGAAACTGGTTATATGATAAACTAGCTAGCAAATCGTTTTCATTCCCAAAGTTTGTCCAAAATCCTCGAGTCTGTCATCAAAACATTGGATAATTAACAGATGAAATGTTGCGATGTCTCCTTTCATTCTGTTCTTCGGGAGAGACTTGATTAATTTGGCATTAGATATAGTTCAGGAACTCCATGTGTTTGAGTGCATTAATGTATGTTATGTTCAATTAACAAAAAAAAAAAAAGAACAGATAAATTCCTAATAGCTAAATAGACTCATCTAAAATCTCAGTTGTAGTTTAGCTCTTCCATCTATCAAAATGTCTATCATGAGTCACGGGATGAGTTATTGTTGCTGGCGGTAAATAACCTACAATACGAAAAATAAAAATAAAGATAAAATTTCAGTTGTAGTATATGCATTCAAAAAACAAGAATAGAATATATACTTCACCACTAGCAATCAAACCACAATCAACTAATCACTCGACAGTTTGTTATTATTAACTTGAATGATACATTAAGACGCTTGTTTTTTTTTTCCCCTAAGAGAGGTAATGTTATAGCTCGAACGTTCGAACCTGATTGACTAGAAAATTAAGCTGCCATAACATGCGACTCTCTGATTATTGAACTTGATTTGGATAATCATACAATAGTTAAGAAAGTATTCAAGTTGCAAGGGGTTTTTTGCCCCCCTCATCTGCTTCTTTTGTTTGTTTGTTTGTTTGTCAATATGATCCAACAGAATTGATTAACTTAGATGTATCCACCCAAAATCAAAACAAAAAAATAAATGCATGCACCAAAAACATGTAGAGTAGAAGAGGCTGATTTGACCAAAAAATTATAACCCCCATCATCAAACAATGTAGTAGGGCATCCTCATAAACTAAGGGACTATGCTACCTTATTTGAAGTAATGGCTGACCCCTTATGTTGGTGGGTGATGCACTATATAGCTAGAGGTAACCCCTAGGTAGCATATAGGCATAGTCACACACAGATATTATTAAAATTTTGATTCCATATACATACACCAATACATACACATATACATATATACATTATTGAATTGTTTGAAGAAAATATTAATTTTTTTTTTTAACTTAATAATTTTGGGGTAATGTTGGAGTTGTGGCATGGAATCCCAAGTGGGAGTGGGACCCAAAAGGGTTGAGCTAGGGAGCAATGCACACCCTTTGATGCCCCATAGTTGGTTCTTTACTAGACCAATGCAAGTTTGGACCACATGACTTGCAAGGCTCCCCTATATAAACCACCCTTCTTCCTCCTCTTTGGTCATCAACAACTCTTCAATTCATCATTCCAAAAACAACTTAATTTACTCCCTTCTTCCAATTTGTTGAGCTTCAAATTAAGCACATCAAAACAAAAGTACCTTACAAATTCACTCAAAAAAAAAAAAAGAAAGAAAAAGATGAAGATAAGCAGCACAAACATGGGTTCAAAGAGGAGGTCATCAGCATCAAGAATTTCAAGCAGAGGGCTTGGAGGAGTCCTAAGGGAACAAAGGGCTAGGCTTTACATCATCAAGAGATGTGTAGTGATGCTTCTTTGCTGGCATGATTGAAGCAAGAATTTGAGTTACTAGTCTTTGATTAGCCTTCAACAATAAGGAGAGGAGGATGGGCTTTTCAGCCTTTTTTTTTTACCTCTTCCTTTTTTTCTTCTTTGGTCCTCTGCTGAGTGTACATATTTAGCTGGTGCGGAAAATTACTGAAGAAAATGTTAACAATTTTGTACTACTGATGATTAATTTATTTGGCTTCATCAAATTGAATGAGCCATCTAA